TTGGACTGCTTTTCTGAAGCGATCACTGCAAAGAAACTTTGCAAGGAATCCTGACATTGCTCAGATAAAAACAGATCACCAAGAAGTCAAACCATATCAGTACTTACAGGTCATCCAGACAGAAAGGTAGGAAATGGCTGTTATTTAGTGACTGTCAACTCAGACACCCACCCCAATCACATTCTGTGTTGCAGCATGCTTAGTCTGTTTCTTGACTGTGAGGATTTTCTAGCGGTTGACAGGCCCTGGGATCCTTAAGTTCAACAGTGCATTTCACAAGCTTATTAGTTAACATTAGTTAATATTAACCCCTGTCAAATGGTCTGGTAAGGAAAATTTTCATCAGCTTTTTCCACTTCCTTTTGAAACTTAACTGTTATGGCTCTTAATGTCTTTTAATCCTAAGGCTAGATGACTTTTTGAGGGCTAGAACCTCTCTACCTGCTATATGGATGTTGTGCTTCACTCATAACTTTATATCTTGCAGCTTGTAAAATGGCATGAACTTCTAGAGAAGCCTTTAACTTGACTTTTTAATTTTTAAGGATGGGAATACCGCACTAATTAATAGCAGGTGTCTTACTCCATGTTGTAAAATATAGGTGATTAAAAAAAGGTCACGTTGAAGAGTGAGAGAGCAATCTACTTCCAGAGAAGAGATTGAGCAGCAGAAGCTTGGAGAAGCTTCCTAAAGGTAGTTGGTGTACTCTGCCTGTCAGTGTTGGAGGCCTTTGGCAATGTCCTTGACAAGAGGCTCTGTCTTTTGTCCAGAAGTAGTCAGGGCCCTTTACAACTTAAATACTCTGTTGTAAACTGCACAAATTCAAGTTTTATGAAGCAGCTTTAACTTTGTAAGTGTGGTGACTGCTGAAAGGGAAAATAATACTTTCCAGCTTATTCCAGCAGATCTAAGATGTTCAGCTGAAAAGGGAAATGTTATTTTCTACTACTGCAAATGATAAAATTTGATTTAGAATTGAGATGAACTAAAGAAGTTGAATTTTTCATTAGACTAATAGAATGGAAAACAGGGCAAACTTCTGGCATGTGAGCTCCACACCCCATGATACCTGCCTATGTTGTCTATGCCAGATGTGAAAAATTTTGTGACCAAGAGCTCTTAACTTTTATTTTGCTCCAGATACATGAATTGAGTTACTACACTGCTTCCAGGAAACTTGGTCTCTCAGATCTTTAGTTGCACACTTGTACTTTGGATGGATTTCCAGATAAATACCCTCACAGTCCTGATCATGGTCTGAGTTACACACTTTCTGATTTGATCTATTGCAGGTTCATATGTGAGGCAGTCCAACACATTATTTGTGATTTACAGTACTTGATAGATGAACCCCTTCCTGGAAAAGTACCGTTAGGAAACATGTCTGTGAAATAATGTGCTTGCTTGTCTGTTGAATTTTGGTTGCCTATTATAAAATTGTTCTTGAAGCTTCAGCTTTCTAATGTTGTACTCTTCAACTGTGTTTGCACCTGTGTTATTTTAAGAAATTATACTTGTCCTAATATTTTTGTTTTATTATTGTGGGATTGCTCTGTTACAGATTATCTCTTTATGTGAAAATTGTTACGAATTTCTCAGACCAAAAATTAATGTTTGTATTAATAAATATACTCTGGCAACTCCCAAGAAATGGTATATTAAAAGATATTACAAAATTCTCTTAAACTTGAAGAGAAATGATGAGGCACAGCAAAAAATCCTTCTGGGGATTGCCAGCACTAAGAGTTAGGCAAGATAAACAGAGAAGGCCATGCTTGTTTGGAAAGATACCTGTTGCCACAGGGTACTGTGATACCAACCCTTCCATGTTCTAGCATCATCTGAGGAAACAGGGAGTGGGGAATTCCTTTTGCTTTTAAATGGCACTGTTTAGAACTCCATTGTGGTTCATGTCAGCATCCACAGGCATAAACACACAAGTGCATGTAATGGTACTGCGCAGCCTGCTGCTGGGGTCACCAATAAGAAGAGTGCCTCAGGAATGTCAGCAGGATTAAACTCCTGTTGCAGTGAAAGAATGTTGTATCTATAGTGGGAAATGTGCCAGACATGAGGTCCACAGGGTACAATCTTTTGAGACCAGAGGCTGCTGAAAATAAGTATATGCCTGACACACAACTGGGAGCTGGCTTATTATCTACAGTAGTACATTTTGACTAAGTTGATCTGTGTACTAAGGGCTCCTGATTTCATTTATCAGGAAAACAGTTGAAGTATGTTTGAGAGATTTCAACATCCCCTTGAAGAGAAGCTGTGTCTTTTGCTAAGAATTCAAAGTCTCTCAGTAGATGATAACAATTCTTTTGGCATCTTTTTCTGAGATAAAAAGGAAGCTTTTAGAAAGAATAGCCAACAGCAGACAGTAGCATCTCATGTTAAAGCATTGTTGTTAGGCATAGCTTGGGTTTTACGAAGTGGAAAAACTTGGGATCTACTTAGGCCAAAACTCAGGACAAGTATAAAATGCCATCCTAAGGAACTAAATAAGGAGTCAAAATGGACTTATGTCAGCACCAACTGCTGTACTTTCCAAGACAGAAGAAGACTACAATAACATAAATCCATCTAATCCATCACAAGGTTTCTTTAATGTCTGCTATTATGATGCACCTTGCTCATATCAGGACCTAATTAAGCAATGTTAATTACTCAGTCAAGTTCAGGCTTTAGCCAGAAATAGACTAACTTCAGTCTGCAAACCTATTTCATTAAAAGCACTGTACACTGAGCTACACATTAATGAATAATTGGATGCAGTGACTTTTTTATAATTTAATATGCTATAATAATCTACACAAGGAGTCTTATCATAGGATCAGTACTATAGAGGCAAATCCAGATCCTTTAGGAAATGTTATAACCTACTGGTTTCAATCCTGTGAAATATTTTGCCTAAAAATACTTAGTTAAGCTTCTTAGTTGAATGTGATCCATTACTGTATACTGTAAGCACTTGCATATTTTTGTCTCTTTCTCCTTAAACTATCAACAGATTCAAAGTCTAGGAACAGTAGATGTTTCCCATCTTTTCAAAATGTGTACTAAATAGACTGAAATTAAATGTTTGGCACCAAGATTCTCTATGCAGCTGTTGACAGCCTGAAGAGTATCTGGGTGTTTTCAGATGTCTTACTCTTCCAGTGGTTTTTTGATGCCTATTCCCTGTAGAGATTGAGGTTTCAAATTTGGTGGGAATTTTGTTTCTACATTTTCCAGGTGCAAAGATAAACTTGCAATATTCATGACACCACTGTTGGTCTGTACAAAACAGATTAAAAAGTAGTTTAAAGTGTGAACTACCCCTTTTTGACAGCAGAATTTGAAGCCTGTGAGTACATAAATTTGAATATTTTTACAAATCTCTATCAACAGCCCAGTTAGCTTCTGTATTCTGTATTCTGCATTTGTTTAAAACAGATTACATGCCAAAGCATACACTGCAAAACTTTTTATTTTCCTTAGAGTTGTTCAAGGGATCCCATTTTCATCCCAAATTTAGACCCCTCCTCACTGTTTCCTAATTACATTAACTGCCACCTTCAGAGTATGCTGAGGTTGTTATTGGCTGATGGTAAATACGAGCATCTATTCCCAGCACTGTAGGTAATCTTAAACACACAGACGAATCAGGATTAACTCTGATACTATCTGCCTCTGTATGGACTCAGGCTTCCTGAAAAAAACAACTTATGGTACTTAGTAAATTCTGACCCTTTTGAAAACAGTGTCAACCTATACAAATATGTATCATCTGCTCACAGCAGTTTTGATACCACTAGTTTTGTACAATTTGTATTCAGCAGACCTCTACCTACATGGGCTAGTAAGTCCCATTTGAAGATCCAACCCAGTATGAACAAACTGGATGCAAACATGTTTGAATCTGGGAAAGAAAGCAGACAAAATGAACGGGCATTCTGTTTTATTAAATGAAGAAAATCTTTGCACAGTAAGGGATATTTTTAATACAAATTCTTTCTGCATAATTATGAACATTTGTCTAACCTAGTCTTTAATTTTGACTAACCTCTTTAGGATAATAAGACTGAGTTCCCTCTGTAACTAATCTTGTTGGTGGCAGATAGCTGATCAGTGTCTTAGTAAATTGCACAAAGTGGTCACCTGCCTTAAACAGTCTCCTCTGCTACAATTCCTAATTATTTGCATCCCATGAAGAAACTTCTCCAGTACTCATTAAGTATCATGGAAAAAGTTATTGTTGTTCCAAAGTTATTAGCAATACCAAGCAGCTGCCAAAGAAGGCATATGCAGGTCCTTGCAGCATTTAAACAGGTTGAAAGTCAGGGAAAAGATCAGAATTAAACAGTAGTTACAGAGGATAGAACTGTGGAATCATCATAGAATCATCAGTGTTAGAAGAGAATTTTAAGTAATCATGTCCACCATCCACCCAGCATTATCTCTGTAACCATTGAACCATTAAACCACACCACCAGCACCAGGTCCAGACATGTCTGAACACCTCCAGGGATGGTAACTCCAACATCAGGGACACTTATTCTAATGCCTGACTACTCTGACAGTGATAATTTCTTTTTTTCCCAATATCTAAAATGAAACTCACATATCTCAGATTAAGGCAATTTCCTCTTGTCCTCTTACTGCAGGCCCAGCAGGAGACACTGATCCCCACCTCACTACACACCCTTTTTCAGGGAGTTTTAGAGAGCAATGTGGTAAGCCCTAAGCCTCCTCTTCTGAGACTAAACAACACAGCTCCCTCAGCTGCTCCTCGTAGGATGTGTTTTCTAGACCCTAGATCACCGATATATATGTAAACTGGTGGCGTGTCCACGCGTGGCTGCAGCTTTACTCTGGCCTGGCTATCCCCAAGGCATCCCGCTGTACATTCACGAGATGTACATACATCTCGAGCCTTGGGCGCGGCCCCGCTGGAGGCCGCAGCACGGGGCCGGAAGGGGGCGCTGCCCACGAGTCCCACCGGAAGCGGCGCCCGTGTGGCGGTGTGGGGTGTGCGCGCGGCGCGGCCATGCCGGGCAGGAAGTCTTCGAAGGAGAAGAAGCGGCGCTGCTCCCGTTCCTGCTGCCCGGAGGGAGCTGCGGGGCCAGACGGCAGCGATAGGAAACGGCGGAGCACCGAGTCCAGCCACGGTGCCCTAGAGGTAGCACGGGCCGAGTCGCGGGGTTTGGCCGCTGCGGTGCCGCCTCTGCCTTCCTGGGCGCGTCCTGATCCCGCGTCCTGGCCGCAGAGGCTGCAGGAAGGGCCGGTTTCAGTCGCACTGGTCGGTTTGCGGCTGCAGGGAGCGGCTGGGCGGGCGGCGCGAAGATGGGCAGCACAGGCGCGGATACTGGCGGGGGCCGGCCGAGCCCGGGTGCGCATCTCGGAAACACCGGTTCTGTGTTTTCCAGGTGTAAGAGATGTGGCGTACAAGCTCGGGTAGCCCCAGTCGCGGTTCTCATACTTGTGGCATTGTGAGTCTTCTCAAGAATGTGCTGGTGTGCAAAAAATGGGTGTGAGTTGCACGCCTAAGTGAATTCTGAGGCTGACAAAGTGTATTTATGGCTCGTGGTTTGGTTTTGGGTTTTTGTTTGTTTGTTTGGTTGGTTTTTGGTTTTGTTTGGGTTTTTTTTTTAATTCGTTTTCTGTTCTAGATGTCCTCCGCTGATATATGGAGGGTGTATTTTCTATTTCAAAGCCTATTTTAATTCATTGAAGACTGCCACACAGGGGATTGTATGCCAGTTTCTGTTTTAGCAGGACAGCTGTAAATGATGAGCTTTATGATTTAATTGCTCAGCTAATCAGATGGATTTCGCCTGCGTTAAAGCATGCTTTCTTGTGTAAGCACCAGCTAAGTATTTTCAGATAATATTTCCCAGTTAATATTTATGAATACTTTTCACTTCCTGATGCTTTAAAAATTTTCCTAGCACAAGAATGTTTTCAGTAATAAAATATGTAACTTCAGTAATGCAGTTACCTTGCAATATGAAACACTGGAACTTGAGAAGTCCACACTAAGATATACCTTGCATTTATGAAGGGAAAATTATTTTGCAAGCACAGGTGAAGCTATAATTTTCTGTCTTCTCTAGTTCACTAGAAAATGCCATCCTTGATTTTAGGAAACAAAATGTAATGAACTCTCTGGAGAAAAACTGGAAGAGGCTGAACAACCCAGTGATATAGAGGAAGGAGGATTAGATCTCACTGTGTCACTCAAACCTGTCAGTTTTTACATTGGGGACAAAAAGGAAATGCTTCAACAGTGTTTCTGCGTCATAGGGGAGAAGAAACTACAGAAGATGCTGCCTGATACTTTAAAGGTACTGAAATACACTTACCATTTATATACTTACCATAATCTTGAATGCTTGCTTAACAAAGGATACTTATCTCTCCAGGCTAATGTATTTATATTTTAACTGCTGCCTGCATATTTCTCAACTTTCTTTCAAGTCAAGTACCTTTCTTAAGTTGTCTCCCAGTCATATGTCTGGAAGTCAGACTTAAAGATTTGCTGTAGTTATTCCAGGGTATGCCTTTTGCGGCTGCACAGCAGTTTCTAAACTTCATGTTTAGCTTTAGACTGTCCCTCTATACTGCTTAGTTAAATGCATTTTCATGGTTATGAGGAGTAAATACAGTTGAGTTGTTTACTAATTAATATGCTGATTTGTAAATAAAATACTGATTTCTGCTTGTGGCAACTGATTTTCTTCGTATGGTATTAAAGTAATGTCTGAGATGAGAAAATAAAGCCCATTCTTTATAAACAGCTTCCGTAGCTTTAACTTCTCTGGACTAAAGCTGGAGTTTTACTGGCTTAGTACATACGCTTGTTGAGTCTTGTGAACAATAGGACTTAGTAAAAATAAATTAGGCTAGCAGCCTGTACAGAAGGAAACTCTGCCAGTGAAATGTCATCTGTATAATGCTTGTTAGTAGTTGTAAATTTTTTATCTTGAATTTTTATCTTAATGAGTTGTATTATTAATATAAGTGAGACAGGACTTCTTCATTTTAAACACATGGTAAATTGCACATAGGCTCATCCATTTCTCATGTCTGGCAGAAGAAAAAGAGGTTGAGAAGCAGGAAGGAAAGGCATTACTGAGTTTGTAGGGAAATTGCCTCATCATGTAGATCCAAACTTACAATATGACTGTAAGTGTTACAACCTCTTTAGCGGGTCCTAATTTTGGTATTTGTACATGGCATCACAGCTCATTTGAAAATGTGAAATTACCAAATGTCACCAAAAGGTATGAGATGTGAAAGTAAATGGAATACCAATAAAATGTATGGTATGTACTGAGCATGAGAAATGGATTGCAATTTATATACTTTCTTTGTGTTGTGATACACATCTGTTGGTGTGTTGTCAATAGCATTATTTTCTCCAGTTTGTGGACTAGGATTCAACAGTCTCCTCTGATCTTCGCAAGCTTAATTACATAACTCAGCTTCCCCCTAGTGATGGAAAACTAGGAATAACTAGGTCTGCAGTTGTTTGCTCTTCCATGCTTCAGACATGTGTTTTGGTGTTTCTGGTGCTCAGTGTTGCAGCTGCAGTAAAAACTTCAAGCCATAGGTCAGGTAACTGATAGTGTTTATTGCTTAATTTTTCAGACAAAACCCACGCATATGCTATTTCTTGTCATAACTGAAACACCTTGTTTTCTACATCAGTTGCATCAATGCAGATCAAAATATGGGAGAGGCTTTAATCCAAATTAACTCTTCATTATAGTTAGACATTACCTTTTAAATTACTGTCTTCTCAGAAATTTTTAGTAGCCTGTGGTTTGTTTTATCTGTCTTCTTAGAACTGTTCCATGGATGAAATCAAAAGACTTTGCATGGAGCAGTTGGAGCTGTTATCTGAAAAAAAACTGTTGAAGATTCTTGAAGGTATGAGTGAAACTTTTAAGACTTCACTGTACACCAGAGAATAGTCTGCCTCAACCCCATTTGCACTCTTTCATGCTACTTAAATATATATGTATATATACAGACACACACTAATAAGTATATATTAGTGTGTACATAATCCCTCAATTCCACCAAGACACACAGTTCATGTACGTTGATTAAGGATATGACATTCTAGCTTTTCACAGCTTTTTTGAACTTGTAATTGATATTTAAGGAATATAGAATTTACTTGTAAGCATATTGCTGTCCTGTCAACAAAGAAAAACTCTTTGAGTCTGAGTGGTCCAGAGTATCTTGCTGTTAATTCTGTACTTTATTTTTACCATCCATAGTATTGTACTAAGAATAGCTAATCAGATTTTTTATAATCCAGTATAAATGTATGTGTAGCTAACAGAAGACTCACAAATAAGGGTTTTGGTTTTGACTAAGTCTAATTTTAGAACTTCTGCTTTAACTGGGAAAAATCCTCTTCTGCTGATTGCAATAGAGTTAATTAAGAGTAAACCTAATTATGTAGTATTAATTATATTACTTTCCTAAATTTTCATGTTTGACACTGTGTATATCTAGGCAAAATTGGAGCTGATTCTGATACTGACGAGGAGGCAGATGGAGGAGACAAGACTGGAGGTGATTCAGTCAGTCAGTGAGTAAAAGACAAAACACTTAATCTAACGAGACTGAACAATTCAGAGATTTTTCATGAGGAATGATGAAATACATAATTGAAAGACCCAGTTCCTATATCCTTAATTAATTACTCTAGTTGAATGACAATGAACTGTGATTACTAGCAAGCCCTAAATATAGACATGACTTTGTCACTTTGTGACACTAAGTGAGTCTTGAGCACATAACTGGGTTCATAGTGGCATACCACCCATCAGCTGAGTTGTGGTAATTAAACTTTCACACTTCTGTCCTGCTACAGAAGTGGTGTGATATAGGTTAACTGTCCTTGTGTGAATTAAAGGAGTAAGCCTCTCCCACTTAGGTCACTGAATTGCTTAAGTGTACTTTCAGTTCAGCTGAGATTTAGCTCTTCTGTTTCAACTTTTCATTCTAGTCCTTCATTCCTGCCCCAGTTGAAGCAGCACTGACACTCACGTGTTTAATGCACTCTGTATAAGGAGTGCTACAGAATGTAAAGTTTCAAGAACAGAGGCTTCTGGTTTCTTGCTCTTATCTTGGCATCTGGCAGTTTTGTAAAAGACAGCACTTAACCTTTTCTCAAAATGCTTCTCTGTTTTTTAAGGACCATTTCTTTGTCAGGAGTTTACCTGTTTGATAGTTTCTATGGAAGTAGTGAAGGGAAAAACAAAGTTACTAGTTATCATGCACAATCAAATTTAGTGAGGCTAACTTGTTTCTAGAAGACTAATAAGCTTTTATGTTTTCAATACTGACCTGATTACAGCTGGTCCACAGATTCAGGATGTACTTAATAAACCTCTGAGACAGTACAAGACAATGCACCAGCAATGCGCAGATTAAAGTAACTTCCTAGCAGTTGGTTTGGTTTGTTTAAATAAACCTCCTAAATAAGAACAAATGGATGGGAAAGGTAGTAACATTAATTCAACTTTCACATTCTGGTCAGTATTTTTCTTTAGCAGAGACCTGGTTTCTGATCCCATCTTTGATTGAAAACAACTTAGGAAGTTATCACAGAATTTTCTTTGATGACTTCTCATCATACAAATATACTAGAAATTGGAGTGAATATGAAGTTACGTTTCATTCATTTCCTTGTGATACAGTTTTAATACCCTTTGACACTATTTCCTTTAAGGTTCCATTTGGAGCCCATTGTTAATGTATCCCACTGTGCTATTTGTTGCCTGTGTGATCTGTGAATGGGTCGTCATTAGTCAACTTTAAAAACTAGTTTTCTTCATTTGGACATGGCCCTCTGCTGGCTTTCTATCTAAAGCAGATAGCAATTTTTAAAACTAGAAAACACCCTAAATACTGTGTCTCTTTATGTGGAGTAGTCTCTGTTAAGTGATTGATAATTTGCCAGTGAACTTCTAAATAAAATAAGAAGACAGACTTGTTGGCTAAATAATAATATAAATACCCAAGTTTTTTGATTCCCTGAGAAATTATGTGTTGTTTCGGCTTTTTGTTTGAGGCCTAACTCACAAGCTATTTACTATTGCAAAATATGTGAAATACTCTTTATCTCTAAGATGTATGGCAGAAGTAGTGCTGCTGAATTTCAGTAAGGTTGTTCTGTGTCTGCAAGATGTTTCAAAGCTACTGTTGCTATATGTATATACGATCCTTTGATACAGTAGATTGCATAAATTCTTTCTTATATGGAAATTATTTGAGCTGGTGAAAATCTAAAAAGAGGAAATTAATGAATAAAACTACAAAGTAAGAAAAATAAGAATTTACCATTTTTTAGCTAGTGGATATCTGACACTTAACCTATTTTCCCATGCCAGTTAGGAAGGTTTCAGTAACTAACAGTAAATCAAGAAGAAATTGTGTTTAAAAAAGGTAAAAGAAACTGAGATATGTTGTTCACAGTTGTAGAGCAAATTGCTTCCTTTGACAAACAGTGGTTGAGATGCCCCTTGTTCTTGTGTCTGTAACCTGATAGTTCGGGGTTTCAGACCTCTCCTAACTGGGCAGGCAAATTGGATGTTTTAGGAATTGGGGATTTTCTTCTCCCTTTCAAAAATAGCATTCTGCATTGGTGGGTGCTATCTGAGAACCAATTCAGCTGTTTGCTAGCATTAACAAAAAGAAAACAAAACAGAAAAGCTGTTTGGATGATAGAATAAAGTAAAGGAATAGGAGAAAATGAGAAGAATTAAAGTTTTATGTTAATCTTGAAGTCCAGTACTCAGCAAGATCAGTATACTTTTACAACTGTAAACAGTCACAAGCCCTTTTTACTAAGTAGTTTAATCTTTAGGCCTTGGGTCAGCTTCTTTATAACCTCTGTGTAAATAATTATAAATGCAAGTTTTCAAAACTTCAGAAAACTGTGTTTCAGCAACAAGTCAGCTACTAGAGAGGCTTAAGGTGCAAGTGTGAAAAAGAAGTGAAAACTGCATTGCTAAAACAAGCAAGCATTATTTGTAATCATTAATTATAATTTAATCTGGATTTAAGTAGGTAAATTTGTTTGCCCTGGGAATAAAAAAGTCTTTCATAATAAAAAAGGCAGTTTTTCTATTTATATAATAACTGTTAGTTCTTCCTTGGTTATCTTCATGGCTTGTGGCTTTCATATAAATTACTTCTTTTTCCTGCATTCTAGTATAACTTATTTGTTTTAAATCTGACTTGTGTTAATTGTTTTCATGGAAATGTAAATGTGGAAAGGGAAGAAGTGAGTAGCAAGTTGTACTCAAATCAAAAGTGTTTTAACTGATTGGAAACATCCCTTTGTTTCTTTCATTATTGTCCTTTGAAAAAAATAAATTCAACAAACATACCTTTAGCAATCTGCATATATCAACTGAAATCCAGAAAGCTTGAATCAATACATCTAGAGAAATTTCAAATTAAAAAACAAATGACTCTAAGTCTCTAGAGAGCTGTTTCCTGTCTGTACCAGCTAAAAGTAGCAGGGATTAAGCTAAGTTTCTCCAGGTACAGGAAATACACAAAATTCAGATCTTTATGTAAAGCTTTTAGATGGTATTGCATCTAATTGTAAATTGAATCTTCCTTTTTTAGTTTTTGCACATATCCTCATTCTGTTACCGGAAGTGGAAGTTGTGAGGCTTTTCTTAAATTTCAACCATGTAAAAGCTTCACATGCTTACCTTAGCATGTACAACCTTTGCTATTTTATTTTATCACCAGCTTGTTCTATGTGATGCATTAGAAATCCTGCAATAACCACGCAGAAGAACTGAAAAAGCAGGGCCTATATTTGCCAGTGACTGGAAAATACTGTTGCAATAGATAAATTTTGTTTTTTGTGAGCTCTGTATAGGTTTTTGAATTTACAGTTCTCAGATTTTTGTGGCTGTTACTGTGTGCAGTGGAATACTGTTAAACTGAGAGAATTACTGTATGCAAAGCTTCCAACTAAACATCAGATATTTAATTGACAGGAGCCAGACAATGTCTTGCAAAAACCAAGTAGGTATTCTTAATCTTGTTAAAGAAGTGTTAGCATGTTTTTGAGCTATTTCTTTTATTTTACCTGAATTGATTGTTCAAATGTCCCCCAGCAAAACAAGTGAAAGTAAGTTATATGCTGTAGTAGTAAATCATTATTAAAAGAACAAGCATTCTAATGTCATTATAATGATCAATGTTCATATGGGTCTGAGTAAATGATCTTTTGCCTTCAAAATCATATTTGGCTTATTTTTTTCACTGAGTGAAAACCTGCAGTTTAATATTTGATATTTGAAGAATTTAGAGGCATTTTACTACTTTGCAGTCAAAAGTGCAGTTTTAACTTGTTTTCTTTTGGAAAGGTTAGCAGTTTAAAGTTTTGTCTTGTTATAATGTGTTGTGCTCCTGGCTACTGGGCTGTTCACAAACATACAGTTGCCATCTGATGTTTACCCCTGTAAGACAGTTTGGTTATTTTCAGCATTTGGAGTCACTGTAACAACCAGCTACATGCTTCACTGAACAGATGCATCAGCATTTGGCTAATTTGCTTCACTGACTTCTGTTATGGTGATGTCCTCAAACATTACCTGTAACAGGACTGATGGACTTTGCGTAGCTCATTCAACTATTTGATGAACACCTGTCTTCTGAGATACCTTTCTTGAGAAGCAGTACTTTGTAAGAACTTTTTTCCCTTTTGTTTTTTAAATTGCTACTTAATGCTTATTAATTATTTTAGTTCTCATTTGTCATTGAAAACTATCCTTGGAACAAAAATTTGCAGGACTCTTTCAAGGACTTGGGACTTCTGGAAGTGGTTTTTAGGCCTGGAACTAAGTGCAAAGGCAAATTTTAATTCAGGAAGGTACATCATGTCAAAAATAACAGAGGTCTTGATCTAAAGTCTCACTGGAGATTTAGGTGAATTATACTTTTCCTTCTGGTCTCCAACCCCAGTGACCCAGTGAAACCTGGTATCCCTGCCACCAGTATTGGAGAGCTACTGTCTTAATCTTAGCCATCTGCTTCTCTTCCAGTACTCCTTTTCCTAACCTTTACTGTGTTTTTACCCCACTTTGCATAATCTACTGGACTTGGGTACCAAATCTCCTTCAAAACCAGATGCTTTGAGAACTGTACAAATTCCTGTAGCAAACTGTGTACAGAAACTATTTGTGTGAGCCCAGTTAGGGATTACACTGGCATGGTACATACCAACATGAAATGCATGTTCTACATAAAATAAGGTAAATTTTAATATACAATGTTTGTTAGCAAATAGTAGCTGTAGTTAGCTTCTTTCTGCTGAAAAGATCATACTGTGAAAATCTTGTTCTGTTTAAAATAATAAATTAAAAATGCTGAGTTTATTGCTTGGAAGATTTACTTTGAACTTAATTGCCATCTTGAGGGAGAAATATAAAGGCTGACAAAAGGGAGAAACTCCAAATGACTATTGTCACTTACTAGCATATAATGAAAAAAGAGAGTATTAAATGTGCTTAAAGTCCCATAATTTAGAATAACCTATCTTCTGCTCCCGTTGTTTGAAGACCACCCTTTCTTAAATGTATACCACAGTACAGATAATTAGGGAAAAAAAGTTTTTCACTAGCAAACAGATAAAACAAGGCTAATAAATTAAAAGCCAAACAGAAAAGTGAACTTAAAATGCATCTATTGGGCCAGTAGGTGGTGCAAAATGCTTGCCTATGAAACGAAGTCATGAAGGTTCACCAGCAATGCAGTCCAATCCAATCTGTTCTGAGAGAGTAAAACATGCTGTAAAAGTACTTCTGCGTTCTAAAAATTCTTTTGCTGACAGTAGGTAGTCTCTAAAGGAATGTGGGCTTGCTGTAATTATTGTTGAAGTCAAGGCATCAGGAGGAAACTTTACAAGTTTCAATATTTTGGTTTTTTTTTAAAGTTGGTAATTTATTTTTAAAATGGTTGTGGATAATTTCACAGCCAATGAACTATAGCAGTCACTTTGTTTTCTCTCAACGAGATGATTACAATTCCTCATCAGACATCAAGGTGATACTAGAGTTGTGAAGTCTAATGTCTGGATACTACCCTGGATACTACTGGTGCAAGATCAGGATTTTTCAAATGACACATTGCTGTCCAGTGCAGACATGACTGCTGAATTCAAAATGGTGAAGTATGTATGTGAAAGAGAATAGGTCAGGGGCAGCCTAAACTTTTTCTGCTCTTTGATCATCCTGCATCTAGTGATGATCAGGGCACATCACAACCTAATTTTGTTCAAGAGTTAAATAACCAAATATAACAAATTTTTAGGGGTTACTTCGGAAAAAAAAAAAAAAGCCAAAAACCCAGGTGGTTCTATCCACATCTGCTGACCTGTAGCTGGTCTGAAATCCACATCTCTCCCTGTCTGCTGGCATAGAAACCCCAAGATTGTATCCTTGTTGCTGTTGCTGCTCAGGCCTTGTGCATGCAGGCCTCTCTGATGGCAGGTGTAGGCCTGAGATTGTCCCCAGTAGCTGATAATGTTCATCTCTGGGGTATCTAGTGCTCTATTTCTGTCCCTCAATTTGACTACTTGAAGAACCTAATCTATTTTTGGAATTTTGCCTCTGATTTTACAGTCTATTTTATACCTTAGTCCCAGACCTTGCATCCTGCTTGTTGTCTAGGCTTGCTTGAGGTTTGCTGGTGAATTACAAGCATCTACTTACAGCTGCATGACACTGAAAACCCTGGAGAAGGTATACATTTTTCATTCTGTCTGATTTCTGGCAGCACAGTAGGCCCTTCTGGGCTGTAGTCCCTTTTGCAGTTGCTGGCATACGTGTGTGGGTGTATTTAGATTATTGTCATCTCGTTTGGAAAAGGAGTTAGTGTAGCCATGTGGCTCAATAAATAGGCAGAACAGACTGGTGTCCACGTCCAGGGCTTTGCTAGGCAAGTGTATTGACCTGTTGATTGTCCTTAATGAGTTATTGCATGATACTTTACACATTTATGTTCCAGTGGCTAAAAAAAAGTGGGAGAAAAAATGAGTCTGTTGATGTAGCCTTTGCCACTTCAGAAAAGGAAACAGAAATGAAAATAACTGCCTCTCAGACCATGATTTCTAGAAATATTATAGTATTCCTCCTCCTGATAAAACCATTGGGCATGTGGGAAAAACCCCAACTTGTACAGCATGAGGAAGATAGATATGTGTTCACTTTCAGGAAAGCCCTAATGGCCATTACTGAGAAACAAGTTGTTAGTCATTATATTACGTCTGTGACACCAAAATACTGCTTTCTTTTTATAGTGTTGTTAAACTCCCATGGCCAGGAGAGCTGCATTTATTCCATATAATACAGATTAAACCAATGACACACTAACATTCAGTTGAGAAATTTGGTAATTCTGTTGTCAAAATTCTCACTGGATGTGGCAGCTGAACTCTTCCAGTGATTCTGAATCGTTCCACCTGTGCCCTTCCTGGATGTTTTACCTTATTTTCACAATTCATATAACTAGTATGTGTGAAGTACATGAAGGAAATTAACCTTTCGCTGAAGTGTCTCTTCCTTATACTTGTGTAAAGAGTTGAAACCCTACACATCAAGGGTAGAAGTCTTTAAATAGGAGAAATAGAGAAATGTGGGTACTGAATACACTGTAATAGCTGAGTTGTAAACAGTTTAAACAGTATTCCTTTATGAAGCATGCATATTCTAGTTTAGAAGAGGTTGGTGATGGTCTGATGATAATTTCATGAAAATAATTTTTTACTTTCAAAATAAGACAGTAAAGAGTACTTGAGTGCAGCAGAAATTACCGTTTTCCCAAACTATTTAATTATGTGACAATTTTTTTTGAGTTTTTCAGAAAAGCTATTATGAGGAGCGTTTCCTTTGTAACTGTTCAGCTGTGATTCCTCAGTTATAGCCATTGAGGATTGTTACTCTAAAAGGCAAGGATGCAGTGGAAATTATTGCTTTATCCTTTTGTGTCACAAGGCAAAACAAAAAAAGTTTACTTTTGAGTGCTCAGATTAGCTCTCTGTATTCCTTCTGCCCTTATTCCTACTGTAGCTAGCTTATTGGCCTACCATCTGGTAATTTTTTTCGTTTCTAAAAAATATGTTCTGTTAAATTTTAAATTATGGTGATTAAAATGTGTTCTTTTTTTTTTTCAGACAGGACAACTGTATAGACTCAACTTCTTTTCTTAGAGAAGACAGCAAAGTGGAAGGCCAGGAATCAAAACAAGGTATGTAATAAAGAAAGCTGAAATTTTGTGTTCTCAATATTGGCCAGTGACTAATTCCAGGTAGCTGACAACTCTCTTGTGAACATAGAATGAACATACATTGAGGAAGAGTATTTTATCTTGTGTACTTTCTCTTCTTAAATGCAAAAAATGCAGCTTGTGAGATGTTCAAGTACTACAGTGATTGGCGGGGTAGAAAATGCAAAGGCTTATAAGTTATTGGTGCACATTTGTACTTGCTATACAAGAAAATAGTATTTTTAGCCTGCAGTAGTATTTGTTTTATTCCAGTCATTAAATCAGCACATACAACAATTGCCAATATTAGTTTGTGCATGAAGTACTAGAACTATAGGTGTTTGTCTCAGTCTGTTTATTTTCATTTTTACTGATTCTAAGCAGAAACATCAGAAATAGCTTTTCCAGTCAAAGAATGTTGCAAATTCTTCTAAGCTACATTTCTCGTCTGCAAAGATCTAACTTCATTTACTTCTTGAAACTGTTATTTCACAATTCAGAATGTTGTCTAAAAGATGTCTCTTGAAATGACTTTCGAAACGTGTTTCTTTTCTGAATTAGTGAGAAGAGTTAAATCAGAAAGAGTCATACATAAGAGCACCAAAACTCTTGGGTGTGAGTTGCTATGACTGTGAATAATCCTTTGAATGTTGCTTGTTGTACTGTTGGAGGAACCTTAGAACTGACAGATTTCCTGCAGATTTCCACTTCTGTGTTATCAAAGGGAATTGATGATTACTGCAAGATTGATATCCTTGTAGTTTTTTATGACTTCATCAACCAGACCATCATGGTGGCTTTGGGCTATAACAGTGGCTCCATTCATGATGTTAGCTTTAAGAACTTTTGAGAATATTGTATATATTAGAAAGTATAACTGCAGTCGTGCTCCTTCACTGCAGCCTGAGAAGCTGTGGGAAAAAGAAGAGAAAATGAGAGAATAAGCCAGAGTGGATAAAATTAAAATTTAGAAATGTAATTAAGTGTGCTGAAATGAATTTTGCAACTGTAGATGAAGGAAAAAGTAAAAGTTACCAAAATGAAAAAGATAATGACAAATGCCAACCATGATCATTATTACTGTAAAAACACAGGTGCAAAAGAGGGAAATAAAGCCTATTAGCTCATTAAACTTGTGTAGGCTAAAAGGCCTGAATGAGCACTGAATTCCAGAGTTTTGGAGGTTTTAATTTCTAAACAGAACCAAATGTTGTTCTGTCCAGCTTCTCATCTTACTAAGTCTGGGACAGACATGAATGACTTAATATTTTGTTCTTCTTAATGTGACCACTTGATTCCAAAAGGATTCCTATGGTGGGCTGACCCCAGCCAGCAGTAGGCACATACCAACCCCTCAATTGCTTGTCCCCCAGTGGGATAAAGGTGACAATCAGCAAAACAAAATGAGGACAACTTAGGAATCAATGTAAAGTTTCTTCAGTAAGTGAAGCAAGAGTTTTACATTGAAACAAAGCAAAAATCAGAGACTTAGTTACAACCTCCCATTGGAAGTCAGATTTTTAGCCACTTCTTGGAAAGCAGAGGCTCAGCATGCATGACAGTTACTTGAAAAGGCAGATGCCAGTGTTGCATGGTGGAGCATATCCCTTAGGTCAGTTTGGCTCAGCTGTCCTGGCTCTGCATCCTAGCCTCCCAGTTTACTCTCTGTGGGGTCAGAGTGAGAAACAGAGAAAGCCCTGAGGCTGTGTAAGTATTGTGTATTATCAACATGCCAGCATCATGTAGTCTGCCGTGAAGAAAATGAACTCTATCCCAGCCAGACTCAGTACAGGTCAGTTTAACTTTGGCAGTAAATCAGTAAATTTGGATGATCAGGCTCAGATGTTAAGTTTCAGGCTTTGAACTGTGATCCAGTAATGCACCTGATTTTTTGATCCATGGGAATGCTGCTTGGTTGACCAGCATGTTAGGTAAAGACTGACTGATACTGTGAAGAAAGACACAAAAACTACCATTTCTTAATTCTATTGTTTCCCATTCTGATCTTTCATGTACATTGTGGCTTGCAAGGTAAAGTTAAAAAGATACTGTTCAAATATGATTGACATGTATAGGAAATAGAGGAAACTGCAGATGAAACTGAAATATTAATCTTGAAGTTACTATCACATTAGGAACAGGCCAAAACTACTTAAGGTCATAGAAAATCCTTGTATGTATATCTCATGAGTAGTTTTTATACACACTGCTGTGAGGAGAAGTTTTGGTTTATTTTTTAAGCTTTCAGATTTTATTATTTCAAAATTGTGATTTTTTTGGCTTAAAAAAAAAGGTGATTTGTAAACTTCTTTTATATGTCTTAACATATATTTTCATGAGCTGAATTTGCTTTCCTGTTAACTTTGTTTGGAATTTTTGAGATGCCACATACCTTAGCTGTGTATGTGAGTGCATTCTCAGGGTGAGTGTAGAAAATTCTTAAATCTGAACTTAAATGCTGTGACAGTCATAGGCTGATACAGAGCAATCATGAGTGAGTAACTGAATTGTGTCTATAGTACAAAACATTTTCAATGCCGAATCAACAAAACGCTAATGTTTAAAAATATTACTATTGTTCATAAAACCATTTTGAGCTGTTTTGATCTTCCTTTCCTCCCTCTTTTTGGTTTTTTAAGTAGAAAAATTGCATTCATAGCTTTTGCAGTAGTGAGTATTGATTTTCTTTTTTTCCCCACACCCTCAGGGTAGGAGGAGTGTTATAAACCCCAAGAAAAATAGATCTGTCTAAGGTTTTTGGACACTTTCCATGTATCAATACCAAGTGTGTACAGGTACCATAAAGCATTAAAAATGTTAAAAAAAAAGGAATAACATTTTTCTAAAGCCTTGTTTTTCCTGTGCAAGTGGTAAAAATGGTGTTACCAAAAGTAATAAAAAGTAATATAATTGTAAAGTCTGTGTAATCAGTACCTTTACCCATCACCTGAATACACATTTTTCATTTAAGCTGGAACCAATCCTGCTGTGAATTTCCACATTTACAAAAGCTGTTGAAAGAGCATGAACTTCTGAGGCCTGTGTCAAGAGGAAGTCTTGTTGTAGCCAAATTGAGAGAATAGTTAGGTTCTGTTAGAGCTTTGCTTTTATTTTATTGAGCTGTTATGTTTTTAAAAATACACTCCAACTTCCAACCACAATTAAAAACCAAAGTCTTAAATTCCTCCATGTTTTTACATGGAGTCAAATACATCTGGAAGACTAATGATAAATTCTGAGTAGTTGCATGATAAGTAGAGTTCTTATTAATTTTTAGTCTTGTGTCTCACTAAAGTCGCACTCCTCTTAAAATACATAACATAGTTGAGTGTAATTTTTAAAGTTGCATTCTGAAAATTCGGTTTACTTAAGAGCTAAATGAAAATCAGTTGCACTGCAAAAGCTTTCTTTAATATAAGACTTTATGACAATTTAATTAGGAAAATAGGTAGTGTAACTTCACAGGAGGGAATAAATTTTTCTGGTACTGCTGCTTTGCTATACTGCAAGTTCCTTCAGAATAGCATAAAGATGCATTAACACTTGTATAAATTAGCTTTAAAAGTTGGAGGAGACAAAGGAGTTCATTATCATACAGACTTTTTCTAGATTTCTTTTCACTCTCTTAATTTGCAGAGTAATGCTTTAAGCAGAAGTGATTTTGTAAGTTGAGGTAAAAACAATTTTGTTAGGCAAGTCTGTCATAGTTATATTTGTGTTACAGGTAAGGGAGAAGATAGTGATGTCCTCAGCATAAATGCAGATGCATATGATAGTGACATAGAAGGCCCATGCAATGAAGAGGATGGTCCAGATGTACAAGGGAGCACTGTCAGAAGTGGAGCTGGCCAGGTAGATGACCTTCAGAAGGACATTGAGAAGAGTGTGAATGAGATTCTGGGGTTGGCAGAGTCCAGCCCAAAGGAGCCCAAAGCAGCAACCTTATCTGTTCCTCCATCAGAAGATGTTCAGCCATCAGCACAACAGCTGGAGCTTCTGGAACTCGAGATGAGGGCCAGGGCTATTAAGGCTCTGATGAAAGCTGGTGATGTAAAGAAACATTCTTGACTGTTCAGATTTTGTTTTCACTATTTGTTTAGAACAAGGTGATGTCTGTTCTCTTCAGGGCTACAGTATGTTTGGGTTGGATGTGACATTCCTCATTCAGACTGTGTTGTGTATCCTGACCTGTGTGGTTCAGTTGTTTTGTTGCCTTTAGTGCGCTACTTCCATGACATGCACAAACAGTGGTTGATGCTTCCTTAAGATGAGATGTCCTTGTGCTGGGTCACCACTTCAGGGAGCTACACCACATACGGAGCTGTGCCAGGTACCTGGTGCCTTCCAGAAAGGTTGTTGTAGAAACTTAGAATTATTGAATGGTTAGGGTAGGAAGAGATTTAAGTCTGCTTAATTCTTCTTGCGGCCCATCTCTTAACGTAGATACTCTAAAATGGAATGCTTTCTGTAAAAGCATACTCAGTTTTTTAAAATCTGAATTCCTAAAGGGAAGGATTTTTACCTTTCAAATAAACAGTTGAATATGTTATTTTCAGAGTTATGAAAGTGCCTGAAAACAACAGAGCAGAGTTTATTTTACTGCCGTGTAGTTTTGTCACTTTTCTCCACTCTTATCTTTTGTATTATAACTGAAGAAAGCAGAGTTTCTTCCTAACTGGAAAGATTTTCTTTTGAATATTTGGCATATTTAGTAAATCAAACAGTTCAGAAGACCTTGAGCTTTCAACATTCAATTGATACAGTCATTTCATGTCCCCTGAAAGTAGGAAAATCCACCTAATTTCAGTATGCTCCTTTAGAAGAGGCATTTAATTTATTTATGAGGTTTTAAAATATAAATTCTATTTTTATCCATTTCAAGATATTCCTTTATAAATAAATTGAATTCTAGAATTAATTTTCATGCTATAATATCTTACAACAATTAAAATTTAAATTTTTTTAGAACTAGTGCTGGTTTTCTCTCTGGCTGCTAATCAAAGCATATTAAAATATTTGTGTGTTTGTTTACACATGCAGACATCAATTTTTTTCTTTAAAGGTATGAAGCTTACTATTGTACTCTTTGTTAAGTAAAATAATGTATTATGTATTTTTATTAATTAATTTTTCTTGATTGTTACTTATAAAGCTAGTTACATGCTTTGCAACAGTAGCAGACATAATTTCCCTACTAGTGTGTAATACTACTGCAAACCTTAGTCTATTCAGATATTATGTCTTGAATTCTTTTTAGGTTTATATTTTTCTTTTTATTCTTCTATTTTATCCCTTTTCTTCTTTCTCTTTATTCCCTTTCGTTTTTTCCAGTTTCCTTTTATGTAGCAAGCTTCTTGTATGTTTCTGAAGTATGATTGATTTCCTCTACAAACAACATTATTGCAAAATATTAGTGCAGTATAAATTTGATAATAAACCCTCATTAAATACAACTTGATAAAATTACAATGTGCTTCTACTAAGTGATGTCAGTGTCCAGGGTAAAGTGTACCTGATTCTCGTGCTATCCACATCATCAACATTTTTTCTATTATTTTGTAGCAAATTGAGGTTGTAAGTGAAAATATATATACACAATTCAAAATGTAACTACTGTCTCAAAATCTGTGGATGTTGTCTTTGGTCAATTTAATTTAGCTGTTTGGTGAACTTGTGTTTTATTTGAATCCAGAGAAACTAAAGAAGTAATCAGAAAAGGACAGCTGGCAAAACTTAGATGTGCTGTCTTTTCTTATACAAAGTCATAGGCTGGTGGAGCTGTGTTAGATTTCAAAGAAACACGTTAGTGCTGCTGTACTTAGGTCATTAAAGCACCGAGTACCTTACCTTGCTTGCTGTGGAAGTCCAAAAACTTGCTTGCAAGAGCATTTCCTGCATCACCAGAAGAAGCCACATGTATGAAGTTTATTCAGTGATGTTACAAAACAACACATTTCAGTTCTTTGGCAACACAAAAATACTGGTGGAAGTAACAGTAAACTAGAGCGTAATTGCCTTCTACTGACTACTTTGTGGAGGTGTATGGTATTTATTATTTTTCTGCTGGTTTCCCAGGTCACCCTTAAAAGTTTGTTTTATAGCATGTTGAACTGTGAAAGATTATTATTTCAAGCTCTGTAGCAAGAAGTTGCAAATGCTAACTTTAGCATGTAGTGTGACAGAGATTACTATGGCTTACTATGCATATGACAGAGAAGATTTGTAATTATAGCCTAATTAAATTCAAAATTAAAAGATGAGAAATATTCCAAGAAAATTCAATTAAGCTGTTTACAAAAAAAAAATAATGTGAGATACTTATTCTGGTTGGTTACACAAATGGTAATTTTTAGACTATTGTACTGTTGCTGCTTAGGTTAAAAACAGATCAGCTAAATTCCATGTGTTCTTGCATTGATTTGTGTCACTGAAGAGATAAAAAAAGCCAGTGTATTTAAAGTATTTATTATACAGCTGTTTTGTTTTTCACTTTTAAATATGTCTGTGATCTTTCAGTGAAAAATAAATTTATTATTTCATTTAGAAGAAGAGGCAATTTGTATGTAAAATATATTGAATTATTCATGAAATGTTAAAATAGTGTTACTGGGTTTTGATCAATCATTTTGTCAGGAAACGGATATTAAGCACTGGGTGTTGGTCAGCATGAAAAAAGATCTTTTGAGGAGGAGGGTTGATTGTGTGTGTACTAGAGGAATAAAGGTTTGACTCCACAGAGAGTCAAAAGTATTTATTCCTGTCTGGAGGCTTTGCTGTTATGGTGATTTCATGAAGAATAATAAATAGATTTCAAGATGCTAGCTTTGAGAGGTGAATCACAAATATTACTACAGAAAAGAATTAGTTCCCCTTGTAACACCCTTTTCAAATATTGTATTTGCTTTCAAAAGTATTTTGCCTAAGAGACTTTAAGCTTTGTTATAAAATGTGTTCTTTGCTGCTTGAAATTACTATATTTGTTATTTTCTAAATAAATACAGGTTATTTTTAAATATAATTGTAAAAACAGCGAGTCAGATAATCTGTGTAGGTGATGTAAGATGCTGCTGTTCTGACTGGATACTGTTGAGATGCAGTTCACACTGCATTGTGAATCTTGCCGAAGGAGTCAGCTGGGTAACACTTTACTGCAGCCTTGTCTGTTTAAAGGAGCAGTGTCAAAAACAGCAGCCACCTCGGGGAAACCTTGCAGTGGGACAAAGTGTCTTTACCAGCTGATGCAGTACAGTGTTAGAGCTCTAAAGTTTGTAAATGGCTGCTTGGTTTTTATTTCTTAAATAGTGTTTGCAAAAGCAGTTAACTGTAACTAAAGTTACTTTTTTTTTCTTCTGTGGCTGAGGCATTCTCTAGAAGCATCAACTGAAGAAAGGCTTTATGTACATGAGTGCATAGTAAGTTATTATATGGCATTTTATCTGCCTGTCTTAAAATTATAAACACTGATTGAGCTTTATGAGATCACTGATGCTGGTAAATATGCCCTTTTCATAGAAGATAATTGAGGATTAATTGTGAAATAAGCCCTTTAGTCAGGAAGGGAGATGAGGTAGTTAATTGATCCAGAAACATAAGAACAACATTATTTCAGGAGTATTGTCACCAAATTAAAAACTGATTATAAACTCCTGCAATTTAGTCCCAGTATTACAAACCTTCATGTTTATTTTTAAGTAAACCTGCAGCATATGTAGAAAAGAAAAAAGGTTTGTTCACCTTACTTGTGGCCAAATATAGATGTTAAAATACTTGATTTTGTGGGGAAGGGTTGAAAGCTCATGTTTTTTGGCCCTTTTTTAGCGTTAATGTTGAAATGTTTAAACAGAATACCTAAAAGGAGAAGAAAAATTACTGTTTGTAGAAAGGGCTAGCCACATACCACTTAATCAACCTCACTCTGTAGTTAGGTAAGGAAAGATCACAAAAATTTAAATCTAAATATTACATATTTACTGCATCATACAGCCCAATAATAACACGAAAGGAAACTTCAAACCAAATACAAACAGAGAATGGAACATGTTCATTTGTTCATTCATTGTGTCAGCTTTTTAAACAGTGAGTAAAAACTTTGTCCCTGGGATTGTTGATTATTGTCAATCTCAAAATTGATTTTTTTTTTTTGTCTAATGGTTTTTCAAAGCCATGAATTGTCATAATCTAAAGCCTTACATTCTATCTTGTGTTTCCAGACTCCAGTCAATCCTGCTTTACTTAAGAACTCTCAACTTCACTTCCCTGGAATACTGTGTACAGTTCTGCACGATTGTATTGATGTCCTACCCACTGGGAGTGGAACAGATGCAGATAAAGGTTGCCAGAGAGGCACAGGATGAGAGACACAACTAGGAAAGTGTGTTTAGTCTAAGCATGTTGACGCTAGCCTTAAAGACAGGCAGAAAGAGAGTACTGGGAAATACATTTAAGCTGAATATGAATGCTGGTAGGGAACTATGCGTACATTTTGGTGTGATTGCTTATTCCCAGGCTGTCTCCTGGTCCCGTCCCTGCTGTTGTGCAGCTAATGTTAATGTGGATATATACAGAACCACATCAGAAAACTTATTCCTGCCCATCTGCTTCTCACAGCATTCTGATTGAATTTTCTGTGTTGGCACAATAGAATGAGTAGTGAAAATCCAACTGCTGGATTATATCACATAAATGATAATCCATGTTCTTCCACTTATTAACATATGAAGCATCAGAAATAAGGTCCATGACTTAATTCTGTCTTTTTGAAGTCTTGTAGATCTTCACTCAAAAATATTAGCTGAACTGCTCCAAATATAAGCCCTTTAAGCTATTCAATTTTTATTAAATTTACATTTTGATTATTGTCTGGTGGAGATTTTCTATGTGTATGGTTTTGGGTTTTTCATTTGTGTTGTCATTTCATTAGAGGTTTTTTGTTGAAGTCTGTGTAATTGCTACTACAAATAATCTGGTGAAAGTTAGTGCCTCATAATTGTATTTGAATTAAACTTTTGGATTACATCCGCACTAGGGGTCTGTGTTGTTTTAACAGTGTCTCTTTCAAAGAGTAAGGTACTAAGAGCAGAGTACAAACTGTATAAACAACTTGTAAGCAGTATTTTTCCCTACATAATAAAGTGAACAAGAGAAGAATAGTAAAGGGGGATGACTTGCAATTTAGAAAAATACAGTGTAGGAGGAAAGAAACTTAATTTTCTGTGTACTTTGATAAAAAGTTGAAAAGTTGAAGGATAAAGTGATGCTCTCATTGTCATGAGATCGGTAGAAAGGCTGAGACCTGGTTACTTCAGTCATAGCATGGCTCCTCGGACCTAGGATGCAATAACCCAGTTTGCTGTAACTGGGGATGTGTAGATTACTCTTCATCAAGATTTAACAACATGTAGTGTCAAAAGGGGGATTCCCTATACACAGCATATCCCAGTTACAATGTGTATCCCAGTGCTTCTGCTTTGGTCAGTCCCCTGTTTCTTTGCATTGGTTCATGTATTGCTACAGTCGTCAGATTGCTTTGCTACAAACACAGCAGTCCTTAAACTGTCATTTCAGGAAGCCATTTGTTCTATATCCCAAACAAAACATGGATGCATTGTTTGATATCTTCTCCAACTTGCTTTCTAGGCCTCATCAGGGCATTGACATAGACTATGCTGGAGCTCAAGTGGATGTGAAACAGTGGATTTAAGGGTTAATAGGGAATTTAGAATTATTTAGGCAATATGATATGTGAACATATGGTGTATATTAAGTTGCTTCGGGACCCTCTGAATAAAACCCATTATCTATTAAACTTATGCTGAGACGGCAAAAAGAAGGGTGGCCTCTGATGGAAATTTCTGAGCTTGCTAACGATGCGAAGCAAAAGGGCGACTGCGTATGCAAAGACATCTGAGTTTGAAAGTTCAATAGTGAGGAAGACTATGGAAACTTCATCTTACTGGACCCTAAGCTCATTTTTGAGATCACTGACTTAATAAAGAACAAACTACACAGTCGCAGCTAATTTCCATACCATGCGGAGAATAGGTGGGGTTAGTTCTGAATATTTATAGGCACTATAGAATATGCATGACTTTTGTGTATAAATAAGGGAATTGGGGAAGCTGGGGCACACAGGGTTTGGGAAGATTTTACCTCCCTGTGTCCAGCGCAGAATAAATGCATACCTACTTTACAACCCTTGGCTGTGAGGTTATTACCGTGTATCAGATGCAGTATTGGAAAATAACTGAAAAAGATATTACCTGCCACTGTAAAGACAGGTAATATCTTTTCTATCCTCAATTTCTACTAAACCTTTTAAACACTTAGTGGATTTAAACAACTTTATTAATATATTCCCTTCTTTAAAATGTGTAAAAAAAGGGTATTTTAAAGAAACAGGTTTCTTATGGAATATATCTTTGTACTGAAATTCTGAAGAGCTGTTGATACTGTTCCAAGGAAATTAAAATAGATAGCATTTACTATAGTAGGACCTTACTTAGGCAATATAAATTTCCTTTAAATTACTGAGCCTTACTTTTTTACATTGTTTGTATACCTCTGAAGAGCTACAACCCCTGTAGAAAGAGTTAGGTATCAAGATTAGATAGAATTTAGACCATTCAAATGTATCTCTTCCTAACAAATAGTAGCATTAGATCACATAACAGTGGAATTTCCTCACTTTTTTCACTAACTAATCTGCATATTGTTTTCAAAAAATAATATGTGCAGGAGACCACATTAAGAAAATTTCAGTGTTTTCATTGTTTGTATATATATATTATCATAGTAATATTTGTCATAAGTAAATTATTACTCTCCTTTGGTGAAACAAACTGGTACAGGGATCAGTAGATGATGGTTTTACTAAATTTCTGGTTAGTGAATCTTGTATCCTTAGCATGAATAATGAGACTCTGCAAGCATCTGTGTCTGTTTGCTGGGTACAGTCCAGCCTGGTGAATCCCGTTCCTTCTAATTTTTCTAATTTGGGTTGTTTTAATAAAAAAGCTATCTGAGAACTGAGAATGAAATTAACTAAGATTTTTATAGTTGTATGGAAAGAATTGCACATCAAAAATATGAATGTCTGAAATACTTTTCAGTGGACTGTTTTTTTAAAAAATATATTACTTGACTGCTGCCTAAATTAACATTAAAATTTGTATTGGGAAGCCAAAAAAAAAAAAAAAAAAAAAAAAAAACCCAAAAAACAACAAACAAAAAAATCCCCCCTCAAAAAAAAACCAAAAAAACCAAACCAAACAAAAGATCTCAAAACTTGAAATCCAACCAAACCAGTTTTTTGGAGTAGGATGGAGAGGTAGAATTGCCTCCCTTGTCCTACTAAAATATTTTTTTTTTTTTTTTTTTTTTTTTTTTTTTTTTTTTTTTTTTTTTTTTTTTTTTTTTTTTTTTTTTTTTTTTTTTTTTTNAAAAAAAAAAAAAAAGGTAAGAACAGGGAACCCTTGGGCCCCCAATTATACCTCCACTTGCTGCAGAAGAAAAGTAGTGTTCCCAGTATTTTTCACTAAATTTCAACTGTTCCAAAGGAATTAATTTACCCAAAGTGAGGGCCAGTGATTAATGGGAGCCCCTGAAATTTTTGGTATATAATACATGCTTATTCTTGCAAACTGGAATCAGGGTCAAGAATCAGTAGGCTGATGTGTAACTGTAGCTGGAGTTGCAATTCAGACTATCCCTTTAATCTTTTAAAACTGTTTTGGATACAGTAACTTTATTGTTACTTCAGCAACAGTACTTACTAAGCAGATGCCAATTTGTCCTCAGACCAGAAGGTTTCATATTTATATTATTTATTTTGCCTATTATATTTATATTGTTAATAAGAAAAACTTCCCCTGTTAATTGTAATATTAAGCAAAAAACAGAGAATCCTCTCATGAGGAACAAAAATTCTGTTTTCTGCTCTCATGATGTCTTAAAGAAAGAATATGTAGGAAACAAAGAGCAGGAGGAAGGGTGGTACTGAACTGATTATGATTTGTTTTATGTATCTGTGATTATATTGTGAAATGGCAGATACATTTACTATTAATGTTCTAAATTACATACATGCACATATACAAAAATTAGGAATTTTCATTTCTTACTCCTTTGTAAGCAGATGGGAGAAAATATTCACTCTTTGCAGCTCCCTGTATTTTTCTTGGTAAAATGTTGCAATCAACACTTTGTCTTACTATTTATTTCTTCTTTTTTGTTCTCGCTCTACTATCTTTAGCTATTGAATAAGATTAATAATCTCTATACTTTAGCTGCAGAAGTTTAATAAACAAAGTTTAATTAAACAAGTGAAGCACAATAAACTTAAAGGGTTCAGCCTTAGCATTGAAGATTCTAGTCATTCTTTCCTGGTTTGTTGTGTGTTTTTAAAAATTGAGAAGGGGAGAAGACTGGAAGAGAACTTCAGGTTTTGTACATAATTGAACTAACAGCATGTGCTGAAAAATAATAAATAACCATGACACAGTGATTAAACAAATTAGTTTCCTCAAGCAGTGATTCATTCACTGTCTTTCATTGCCATCAGGTTAAGAGATGGTTTCTTTTTGTTAGCCTAAAGGAGAAATGTTCAATAGTGTAACAATCTCCTTTTAGTTCCAGCCACAACAGCCTTTAAAATGCATTGAATTAATATTAATAAAAATGGAGCAGTTAAACAAAACTTGGGCTCCTCATTGACTTACAAATAAAATCTGCAGAATCAGTTATGAAGAAAGCATATTGTGGTGATTCAGTGCATTTTTCTGGAAGAAACATTGGTGATAGGCAAGGTTCTTGTACTTCTGCAGAAAAAGGATTGTTGGTATTGAATCTGGACATCAGGACATCAGAAGGAATTCTGGACACCAGAAGGAATTTCTTCACAGAAGGGGTCATTAAACATTGGAATGGGCAGCCCAGGGTCATTAAACATTGGAATGGGCAGCCCAGGGAGGTGGTGGAGTCACAGTCCCTGGAGATGATCACAAAATGATTGGGCCATGGTGTCTGGGTGACAAGATGGTGATCAGTCAAATGTTAGACTACATGATCTCAGAGGTAATTTCCAACCAAAAGCTTTTCTGACCTTTTCATCCCATACTCCAACAGCAGTGTGATAGAGTAGCCTTGGAGGGTTGCTGCCAAAGGGAAATTATCGGCTATTATAACTTGCACTTATGATTCAGACTGCATTTGTCAGTCATTGACAAATTAGGCTTATACTCTACAATTTAAAAAATTTGATCCCTTTCAGGTTTTTGATGTTAAAGAACCCAGCTGATACCAAACCCATTGCATCAAAGATAATTGGGATGGCTGGAAGCATATGTTTATAGAGGAGATGGCAGTTCAGAGCTTGTTTTTATGGCAGGCAAATGTGTGTTGCATGGCTCTTTCTTAGAAACCTTATCCTGATCATCTGCATGGCAAGGCGCATGACTTCAAATGTAGTAGAGTTTTTAGATAAAATAATCTTGCCACTTGGCTCCTTAAGTGTTACAAATGGCAGTTTCAAATCTCAGAAGGCATCTGCAAACTTTTTTGCACAAGAAACTGTGTCTACTCTAATTTTTTTAATCAGTTCCTTTGTCAAAGCTCTTCATTTGCCAGATCAACACCCCTAATTAAAGCAACAGTCAACATTGGTTGTAATACACAAAAAAAGGTTTGCTAGCTATTTTCTATGTCATTTAAAGAAGAGCGAGTCTAATAACACTGAAGACTCTTTATTATATATTCTTAATGTCACTATGGTGTTAGAACAGGTTCTGACTGTATCCTCTGCTTTTAGCAAAGCACCAGACCTGCAAACAATATTAAAATTACTCATTACTTACAACATTTCTCTCAAACACCAATTGAGGGGTAATTTCTTTTGTCAAATTTTAGGCATGCTATTATTTCAGGTCTGTAAATTTTTTTGTGGCTCAGAAATGCAGCAGAAATGTTGGTTTGTGAAGGTTTTAACAGCTACAAAATCTTGTTTCTATGTGGCTAAAGAGGAATAA